TCAGCGGCCAGCCTTGCTTCCACTCCGCTGAGGAGTCAGAAGGCACCGGAAGAGAGCTCCCTCCAGCTCCCAGCACCCGAGACTTGTTTCCAGAAAGATTTCTGCTTTCCACACTGTTGTTCGTAATTTCGAGGGTTCTGGAGGGTCTGTTTTGTTTTGCTTTGTTTTTTGTGTGTGTTTGTTTGCACTGGGAACAGAGAAGGTCACCTGCAGTGCTTCTGCTCGATGGAATTTGCGGATCTTTTGGACAGCTGTTGTGAATGTGGTCCGGGCCCCCGAGAAGAAGGTGTCTTTTCCATCGTCAGGCGCAGAGCTTGAAGCGTATCCTCAGAGTTGCCTTATTGACTGTGTTGTATATTTATTTAACCGTTAACCGATGTCCATTTGGATCTGTCTCGTTCTGAGCACAGCACACTGAAGTCATTTCTAATGCACTTCTATCCACGGACCCCTCCGTCTCCCGCAATTTCTACCTCGTAAAGGTGGTTGTCATGGGATCTGTGCAGACACACAGCTTCCTGAGCAGCCGTGACTTTGGGCATGATCGAGTGCACTGCCCTGTCACATGTAGTGCTCCGAGGGCCCGCAGCCCACTGTGTCTGTTCTCAGGACAACAGGTGCACCTGTGCTCGCCTACGTTTCCGCGTCGGCCCCGCGTGTGTCTGTCGTCCCACAGACAGCGTGGAGCCCGGTTTCGATTTGTGATCCAAATTGGAAGTCTGTTTCTTTTAACCAGGGAAGTTAAGTCCTTCCTTCACACGGATCGATACGACTGGCTTGTGGAGTCTCTACCCCACCCTCATATCCCGTACTGGTGTGTGTTTTACTTTATTTGCTCTATTTCTGTTTCTGCGGGAGGTGTGGTCTTTGATCCTTAATCCTTTTTTCCATTTATGGGTTCACCCTTCGTAGTCTGCTTTATCCATCTTCTACGGGCACCTGCTACCTCCCGGCCACCTGCCCATAAAACCAGCAGCGAGACTGATGTCCTCTGTACTACCCCTGTTCTTCTCCTGTGTTTTCAGCTGCACATTTTCACTTGGCCGAAGTCTGCACTCTGCTCGGCTCTGGCCCCCACACGCGCCCCCTCGCCTCCCCTGGAGAGCCCTAGTCCTGTCCTAAGTGGACGAGCCCGTCTCTGACAGGCTGGGGGGGGCCCCAGCTCCAGCTTGCCCTGGGCACCTGCGTGTCACAAGTCGTGTGCCTTGAAGGACAGCTTGGCTGGTCATAAAATCCTTAGTTCACACTTTCTTCTATTAAGTCTAATGACGGTAATCTTTTTGCCTTTGTAAATATGTGTGCCTTTGCAAGAGGTCTTTTTTGTTTAATGTTTACTTATTTTTGAGAGACAGAGACAGAGCACAAGCAGGGGAGGGGCAGAGAGACAGGGAGACACAGAATCCAAAGCAGGCTCCAGGCTCCGAGCTGTCAGCACAGAGCCCGAACCGGGGCTCAAACCCACGAACCGCGAGATCATGACCTGAGCCGAAGTCGGAAGCTCAACCTCCTGAGCCCTCCAGGCGCCCCTGCAAGAGGTCCTTCTGCCTGGACACCTTGGAGCGTGTTTCTTTACCTTCGAAATTTAACTGTTGTATTAAGAAATGTCTCAGAGTTGATCGCTCTGTGTTAATTCTCGCAGGGACCTGGTAGACTCTTTGACTATGTAGGTTTAGGCCTTCTGCCGTTGCTGTTACTGTTTCTGGAAAGTTCTCTAGGTCATCGCTTTAAATATCAGTTCCGATCCCCTGCTGCATTTCTCCTTCCAGACTGGGAATCGGAGTGCCGTCCGTCCCTGGCCCGCCCCCCGTCGGTCGGCAGTATTTTCTCCTCTTTGCTCCTTCCCTGGCCATCTTTCTGCTTTTCCTCAATGCCCCTCAGCTTCCGTCTTAGCCCTCCGGGCGTCTTGCGTTTTTTCCACCTGTGAGATGATGTCGTCTCTCCCACCTCTTCCCGGAACTCCGTCCACTCCCTTTTCCTTTCTTCGCTGAGGTTTTTCTTTTTCTTTTTTGAAGCGACAATTCGAGGTGGCTTTTCCTATCTGTCGGTGCCGGCTGGAGTCCGCGGGGCTGCAGGGGCCGTGTGGCCTCACGGCCTTGTCTGCACCAGGCTGCTCTTTAGGGAGGGGTTTCCTCTCGTTGTGAACTGACCGTCTTTCTCGGTTTGGTTGTTGTTGTTGTTGTTGTTGTTGCAATACCTCTGTGGACCTGTTCATTTTGTTCCCGTTCCTATAAAACACTAGCAGCGTGTTCTGTAGGATTCCAAGTTCAATGGCACCCTCTTCTGTTTAGTGTAGCAAAGTTCTGATAATTTAGGAGATGCTGTGTCTTCGTGGCAGTGAAAGGGGCCTGTGTCCTCCAGTTGGGGTTTTTCGAGTGTTTGGGGGGGGGTGGGTTCTTTTTTCTCTTGTAGGGCCTTAACTTTTTCTCTTTCGCATTGTCCCTTTTGTCACCCAGTTTCTCTAGCCAAAGCTCTCAGGGTCCCCTTGACTCTCCTCTCTACACCCAGACCCATCCTCAAGGATCCCAGCAGCACACCCTCCCCCTCACCCCTGTGTCCCCAGCCCTGTCACCACCCTAGTCAGGACATCGCTGGCTCCCACGGAGTCCCTGGCCATGTCCACCCCTCCCTCCCAGCAGCCAGAACAGGGCTTCACTAGTAAGTCAGACCCCCTCACTCCTGTGCTGCAAGCCCTCCGGTGGCCCCATCTCACTCAAAGTCAAAGCCAAAACCTTGACAGTGGCCAACAAGGTCGTGAGCTGGCCCACTCTCTCCACCCCGACCATGCTTGGCCCACATACCAACAACGGCTCTGAGTCGGGGCCAGAAGGTTCTGCCCACCCCCAGGGCCACATGGCTCCCCCCTTACGTCCTCGGGTCTTTGTTTGCGTCCTGTCCTGGGGACGGCTTCCCCACTGCCCCACTAGAAACCGAGCACAGCAGATGCGCCCTCCCGCTGTCTCCTGTGGCCCCCTCCCCTCCCCTGCTCTGTGCTCTTGGTCTGACATGCCCTTGCTTGCTGGCTGAGCCGCGCTGTAGGGGTCGCTCCCACACGGGCAGGGATTTTATCCATTCTGTCACTGCTCCGTCCCCGAGTTCACTGCCCACACGTGACCGTGCTGAGCACACACGTGCCGACAGAGCAAAGCAGAAACCGTGGCCTCTGGGTGCCCTCGCTCCTGAAGAAGCCTGTCACCTAAGTCCCTCCAGGCAGGCTCTGCCCCCAGAGACTTGCCCTCGGTCACACGGCTGTGAGGGCACAGACCAGGGACTTGGGCCCACGTCCTTCTGACAGCAAAGGCCGCACTCTTTCTAGGCCCCACCCTATGCTTCAGAGTCTCAGAAGCCTCGGAGCTGTCGTGCCCGCCCAGCCCAGGGCTGTCTGAACGCTGGGGTGGGGGCTCATCCAGACCCCCGCTCTGGCCTCCAGACCCCACCCCCGCCCCTCCAGGCGCTTCTACCCAGCACGCAGGCCCACAGACCCCGTAGCACAGAAAACAGAGGGCCGTCAGGGTCACCGACCGCTCGGGAGCCCCAACACCCTGCCTCCCCAGGTGTCACGGGCTGGTGCCTCGGACCAAGTGGAAAGGTCACAGGACCAGGCAGGCCTGGCCCCCAGCCCCAGCTGCTCCATCACAAGGCAGGGCCCCGATCAGGGCAGTCCTCTCTCTCTCTCTCTCCAGTCCTCAGTGTCCCCACCTGCAAAATGAGCACAAGTTAGCATAAAGCTCTGATGGCCCCCACTCGACCCAGGTCAGGCCTGGGGAGCTGGACCCCAGCAAACCCAGGCCAGGAGGAGCCAGCTGGGACAGGCCTCCAGGCAGAAGTGCCAACGGCTGAGCGGGTGCAGGCCGGGCGGGGGAGGAGTGCTCGCAGCACATGTGGAGGCCCGGAGCGGCAGAGGTCGGAGGGCAGGGGTCAGCTGGACTTTGGGGCCACTGAGGGCAACAGACTCAGAGTCTGTAGCTGGGGTGCGAGGAGCCTGGAGGACAGACCCCGAAAGTGAGACCCAGGAGCACGGACCAGGGGCGGCTGGCTCGCTGTCCATGGCACATCCCCCAGGCCGCAAACACACACACACACACACACACACACACACACACACAC